TGCTAAGGAAATGATAATTTTCTTAAATTTAGAAGATACTGTTATCATTTTACTTTGAAAATGACATATTATTTCATAACAATACGTGAATTTGAAGTGTTTGGTGTTGTGGCAAACTGATCATTTCAAGTTGTCCTTTGCATAGTGAATTTCCTTCCAATAATGTATTTATAGAATCCAATAGTAGCCGGGCATTGGTGGTGTATGTCTTTAATCCCAGCACTTGGGAGGCAGAGGCAGGCAGATCTCTGTGAGTTCGAGGCCAGTCTGGTTTACAAAGTGAGTTCCAGGACAGCCTCCAAAGCTACAAAGAAACCCTGTCTCGAAAAATCAAAAAAAAAAAAATAGAATCCAGTAGTAATAAGTATATAGACCAAACACACATCAATGACTAGTAAGGTAAGCCATAAATTCTCCATTTTCACAAAGAGTTTTGTGTAAATCTGCATGAAAATATCATACAAACTACCTTTCAAATTCAGGGAACTCCTAAACCTTTCTTTGTAGGTTATAGAACAACAATTTTTCCTGAAAGGTGAGGGAAACGCAAATGACAGCTATCGAGAGTTGGGATTCTGTGAAGTGACAACAACCCAGGAAGCTAGTAAGGAGCAGTGAAAAATCTAAAGTCAACAACAGCATCCAAAACTCTGCAGTCTACAATGACCACTAGATTCTGATACTTTACTGACGAAAATGTGTGCAATATTTTTAGTTAGCAAGGTTCTCTCTCTACCACTTAGAAATAGATACAACTAAAATTTTAGATTCAGAGACCCCCTCTGCATTGCCACTGCATTGAAAATTCAATATTTTCAAACACTGCCATCCAGAGTTTTGCATTCTACATTACAGAATGTCAAGGACTAACTAAAACCACTATCAAGGGTTAATTAGTCATCACTAGGGAATAAATTAAACACATTGAAATAGTTTAAAATAATTACATGCAATTTAGCAATGATTGAGAATGTAAATAAGTTACAATATTGTGAAAAATGAGTGCCTCATATCAACAACATTAATTCAACTCCACAATGCTGGATGAACAGATTTGTTAGGTGAAAAAGACAAGCACATTTTGCCTCATGTTCCTTTCTAGTGGTAATACTGACTTGTCTTTCACTCCAAGTTCAAAATTCATGTAATCTTCACTTAATTTTGAATTAAAAAATCAAAAGGCTGAAGATGTGATGGTACATGTTTATTGTGAAAAAATAGAACAAAAGCAGAGGTAAGCCATTGTCAGAAAGAATAAGCTGAAAAATGCATATTCCCTAGATGAGAAAAAATAAATTTCACCTTAGATGCTCATGAGTTTGCTCTGCAACCTGGACATTTTCATGTGAGTATCAACACTGTGAAATTAAATGTGTATATTTAAGCATCTTGAACATTTTGAACTAAATTTTAAAACAGAACAAAGTTTAGAGAATCCAAATGGTCCTTGACCTCTCAAAATAATTTTAAAATCTTAAAATAACTTTAGTGTAAATTTTTATAATAGAAGAAATACTCCTAAGAATATTGGTGATAGAACATGAAAGTTATTTTAATATGCAGGAAAAAAGTAATTATTAGGAACTGGAGAGATGTCTCCATGGTTAAGTGAACTTGAAGCTCTTGAAGAGGACATGGGTTAAATTCATATCACAGCATCCACATGGTGACTCACAAAATCCTTTACCTCTACTTCCAGAGAGTCTGATGCCCTCTTATAGCCTCTGAGGGCACTGCACACTCATGCTGTTGGGCACATACACATGCACAAAAAAACAAATAAATCTATAGTTCTCCAAATCAATAGGCCACATTTAAGATGAAGTTTATCAACTAAATCTGTGACTCCAAACCTAATTCCTCTAGGTCAGGATTTGATTAGTGACTCAATCACCTCTATTTACCATTGCTGACCAATAATAGAATCATGGTTGCATAGTAAAAGCTGCTTATTGTATATGCTGAAAATAATATTTTCTTTTCCCTATTATATGAAAACTTCTTGCCATAGTCATGACAACATCATTTGAAGAATGTTATAGATACCTTAAATTCAATTTAAATATTTGCTGGAAATATTTACTCATGCAAACAAATTCTTCAAAGTATATGGTCAATGTCTATTGGCTTTATATGATTCCAAATATTAAACAGGGGTTCCTAGGTTTAAGATAAGGGAAAGCAGTTAATAGAAGTTGTTGTTCAATGGGCCTAAATTTCTACTTGTGCAAGATGAATTAGCCCTAGAGGATCTATTGTGCAACAACAAGCCTATAGTGAGCAGAACCATAATATTAAAACCTCAGCAAATACTTTAACTTTGCTAAAAGACTAAGTCCCATGTTACAGGTTCTCTCCACAGTAGTGATGTCAAACAAACCTGGACTTCATGATTGGATGCATGAAAAATAAAGTGATGATGATGGCATCGCAACATAGCTTCAAATCAGTTTCCAAAAGTTCTGGTGTGTTCTCATGATTCACAAGCTTGCACTTCTGTTTGATTATTTTGTGAAAGACAACAGATTACTATTCCATTGCCAATAATCTAAACCTTGTAATAATAAATATTGTTAAGTTGCTGCAAGCAAATTACTTTTATTCATACTGCTTTTGTTCCCATCTACATTATAGGTTGTATTATCTGTAAGAAATTATAATTTTGTTGTAAATAGAACATAATTTTAAGTCATAAATGTGACATATTTAACATTAGCTTTAACAACCTTTCTTGAACAAAATCCCTTATAGAAGAACCTGAATGGTGATAGAGGAGAGCAGAAATGCATAGGTTTGAGCTTAAGTTTCCCAACCTTCTGTGTGTTTTCTTGGTAAATGCTAGTCTATTTATAATGTGAACATGATAAATAAATTCAATGGATAAAAACCAGACAAAAGGACTGAAATATAATTGAAAGGCAAAATCAGTGATAGTTACAAAATAATTCATTGTGATTCTTATTAACCTCCACATTAAGCATGAGTAGTTCTATTTTTTGTTTGCATAATAGTTCTATTGATCATTTGGGACTTTCACATTCTGAACGAGCATATTCACATCCTAGTTCTTCCAGGTCCACCCCTACCACCCTTGGTACCTCCCTTCACCCAACCCCATAAAGAGAAGGAAGAGGAGGCAAAGAAACGAGGAAGGGAGGGAGGGAGAGCTAGAGAGCCAGCCAGACAGACACACAGAGAGACAGACAGATGGACGGAGGGACGGAAGGAAGGAAGGAAGGAAGAAAGACAGAAAGGAAGAAAGGAAGGAAGGAAGTCTAGCCCCTTAAAGAAAACTGTCTTTTCCACTTGCAACCACACCAAAATACCTCAACTATGGAGAGCTACACTTTAGCATCCCCATCACATTTTTTATTTTTTTGGTTTTTCGAGACAGGGTTTCTCTGTATTGTTTTGGAGGCTGTCCTGGAACTCGCTTTGTAGACCAGTTTGGCCTCGAACTCACAGAGATCCACCTGCCTCTGCCTCCCGAGTGCTGGGATTAAAGGCGTGCGCCACCACCGCCCGGCCCCCATCACATTTTTTAAGAGTTCTCTTTGATGGTCTCTTGTCTAGGCTGTTACTTTTCTTTTGTATAAATGTAGGCACAGGCAAGTCAGGGGGGTGGTGATGGGAGTTGTCACAGAAGCCTCCCTGTCCCTCTTTCTCAACCGGGGTTCTATAGTTGTCAGTACTATGGCAAAAGTAGTTTCCTTGTCCCTCATAGTCAATAGAAGCATATCATGGCTTTCAGTGTTAGCATGGACCATGGGTATGCGTATGGTGTCAAGCATGTACTATGGACCTCAGCATGGCATCCAGTAGCAAGTACAGACTATGCTGGTAGTACAGGCCACCTCCATCAGTATAGCCCTGGAAGGGATCATGACCCACAGACATCAATATAGCCTCAAGTTATAGCACAGACAAGGATATCTACACAGTCTTTGGTGGTAATATGGGCAACAGACAATAACACATATCCCAGCTTATCAGGACCACAGACCCAGACATGGTCCTTGGTGACATTCTGGATCTGGACATTAACATAGTCACAAGTAGCAGCACAAGCCAACAACATCAATATGACTCCTATGAGTCTACTTTTATACATAATATTCTTCCATAAAACAATTATCTAATGAACATTTTGTTACTTTTGTACTGTTTTATTGTATGCCTTAGTTTTACTCAAAAGTTGCTAACTATAGCAGATTATCTTGGAAAACCTATCTTGTTACAAATCATTTTTAAGCTACCTATGCCATTCATTCATCTATTCATTTATTGTTTTACAGTTGATTATTTTCTGTATTCAGTGTGTCCTGACTCCTAAGCAATAACTTTCTGTCTTCTCTTACAAAGTTTTTAAAACTCATTTCCCTTATTCTAATCAGTGTCTTAAATCCTGCCTAACTTTGGTGGGGTGTGTTCTTCTATATACATGTTTCTCTTATTGGTTGATAACTGAAACACTGTTATCCCAGTAGCCAGGAAGAAAGGACAGGCAGGGCTACCAGACCAGGAGAAGGCTGGTGAGAGAAAGGCAAAGAGAGGCCACAAAGAGATGCCATAGAGCTGCCAAAGGAGTAACAGATCCAGGCATTCTCCGGTAAGTCAAGACCACGTGAAAATACATAGATTAATAGCTACGGGTTAATAATTAAGAAAGAAGTAGCCAGTAAGAAGCCTAAGCCATAGGTCAAACAGTGACTAAATTAATATAAGTCTTTGTGTGTTCATTTGGGGTAAAGCAGCTGTGGTACCAGGTGGGACAGAAACCTCCATCTACATACCTTAGCCTCTTTCACCACTTCCTGCATTCCTACAAGTTATCTTTTGTTTCTTTAGTTTGCTTTTTAATTTTAAGGAGTTATATGTATATGAAAAATATAAAACCAGCAAGTACAATTCTAACTTAGCTTTAATCTAAGCTATTGCTAGTATCTTAGATAGCAGCACTGCATGCACCAGAATAAATCAAATAACCCAGAGAGCAAGACTGCTAACTAAACTGCACAATTTATTACAAATTCCTACAATATCACTTTTTCATTTGGGGTCCATTTCAGGATCAATTTTGCATGTAGTTGTGACATCTTCATGGCTTCTTTCAAGCTGTGATAATACCCCGGTCTTTCTTTGTCTTTCATTATGTTGATATTTTTATGGATCATGGATCCTGCATTACGGCTTTGAGTCATTTTTCTCATTGGTGGAATGATGCGGCATATTTTCTGTAAGAAAGCAAGAGAATTTAGAGAAGATGTGGTCACTTGTGGATCATGCCAGAGGCTATGTGTTTGTGTCATCATTGCTTAATCCTTATCACTTTCTCTAGATAATTTCCCCCAAAACAATCCTTTAGACTGCCCTCATCAGTGACAAACACCTTGTAAAAATACTTTGAAGTAACACAAATACCCTGTTTCTTCTCAAAACTTTATCCAGTGGCCTACCATCTTTGGCTTCTTATGTCTATATGTCTTATTATCTTGATGTTTAGTGAAGAGTACTTTTCTGTTGTCCTTTATTTCCTGTAAAGAACAACTTTCCATTCTTCCCCATTTGTTATCTAATCAATTGTTTATATATTTTGACACATGAATATCAACTTTACTTTATTAGGTGTGATGTAACATTATAGATATGTGTATTATTCTTTGGGATCTTTTGAGCGCTTTACAGTGTTATCTTTTATTATGTTCCCATCTGCTTTGTTGTTTCATGTATTCTCGCTATGTATTTATAGTTTGATCTGGTTACAGTAATTTTGATTTGTGGCCATCATTATTAAACTTTAGAACCCTCACAGAGCCTCCACTGAGTGAATTGTGTAGCTTCATGATCAGATACTGACATTGGTCCATATCATGAATGTGCTTGACATCAGTAATAACTGTTTGAGACAAGTCAGGTGCATTGAACCTGGATGAGTTGAGTTACTCTGTTCTCTTTCTCATCCAAACCATGGACTCCAATGCTATTGGTGCCTCTCAAGATCCCATTTAATGTCAATGAATCCTCCACAGAATTTCACTTTGCATGACAGAGTCTATTTGCCTCTTTCTGTCTTGGAGTAACTCATATATTACAACTGTGTTTTTTGTGTAGCAATGAAATATTCTCTGATATTCTAGGTTCATCTTATATTCTCGTGGTCTAGTTCCTCTACCATAAGCATCTCACCAAGAAACCTCTTTAAAAAAAGAAAGTAAATGGAAATAAAGATCTGAACAAACTAGCAAGTATACAAAAGAAATTATATATTTGAATTTCTTCTTCTAAAAGTGTGTGTGTGCGTGTGTGTGTGTGTATGTGTGTGTGTGTGTGTGTACCCTTATGCATCTGTCAGTTCACTCTGATACATCTGATTCTAACCAATAGTATATGGGCTATTTATTTGCTTTTCCTTTTCTTCCTGATTTCCAGGTTTTTCTCACATAGCAGATTCAACATCAGTGAAGTTCAATTGTCTTTATCTGACCTATGCTTAGCTATTTTGCACACACCTTGTCCTACTTAGTTTTCTGTTGCTATGATAAACACTATGACCCAAAGCAACTTGTGGAGAAAAGGATTAATTTGGCTTACAGGTTCCAAGCCATCACCTCAGGTAGCCAAAGCAGGCACTGGAGGCAGGCAGCCTAAGAGTTTCCTAAAGTTTCATCACACATTGCCAAAGGGAATAGGTGACAGTCAGGTGGCTTGTTGGTCTTCTCTAATCTTAGAGTCATGATTCCCAAGTACATGGTAGCAATAAGAACACTTTCTGGAATTCTGACATGGAAGTTGCTTTTGAAGAGACAGGCACTGCATCTTGGGCTTCTCTCTCCTCACACAATGATCTCAATCATTATTCTTCACGAGCCTCAGTTTTCCTCTTGGGTCATAGTGGCACACATGCCTTGGGACAGTAGCTCCAACAGTGGGCTGTACCTTCCAATATCAGTAATTAATGAAGAAAATACCCTGTCGACATGGCTACAGGCCAATCTTATAAAGCCAATGCCTCAACTTAAGTTTCCTTTTCCCACGTGACTCTAGTTTTTGTCAAATGGACAAAAAGTAACCTACACAGTTCTGGTGTAAACTTTAAATATTTTCAAAAGAGTTAACACGTACTCTAGAGAAGTTAGTAGAGTATTATCCTATCCTTAAACTACCCAAAATGCTAATGAAAATACCAATTTTAATGCCATTAGCTTAGACTATCTTGTCTTCTTCACTTTCTGTGGTTTATTTCCCTTCATGTTCCATTATCATTCTAGTCTTTCTCAAAAACTTCAAATAAATAAATAGATAATAGCTCATGAAGGAAGAAAGAGACGATCTTGTTACCTCGCCCTTTTTCACTTCAGTCTGGATGATAAACCATATTGTTCTTCTGCAGGACGTATACTATAGTAAAACAAAGGAGATCCCAGGGATGATTTCATGGCAAGTAGAACTCACAGATCCACTTCAGACCCTTGGTGCAGCAATTTCCTAGAAGTATTAATCTATAGGTAGGCTTAATAAGAAAAGGGTAAATGCATTTGGCCTAGTTAGCTTTCTATTGCTGTAATAAACACCATGATCGAAATCAACCTGGGATGGAAATAATTTCTATCATCTATGGATCCCAGGCCATTAAGAATGGAAATGAGCTTGGTATTGACACAAAAATAGACAGGTAGACCAATGGAATCAAATTGAACACCCTGAGATTAATCCACAAACCTATGAATACCTGATTTTCAACAAAGAAGCTAAAATTATGCAATGGAAAAAAGAAAGCATCTTCAACAAATGGTGCTGGCATAACTAGATATTGGCATGTAGAAGACTGCAGACAGATACATGTCTATCACCATGGATAAAGCTTAAGTCTAAATGGATAAAAGACCTCAACATAAATCCAGCCACACTCAACCTCTTAGAAGAGAAAGTGGGAGGTACCCTTGAAGGAATTGGTACAAGAGACTGCTTCTTGAACATAACACTTGAACAATAGCACAAACACTGAGATGGACAATTAATAAATGGAACCACCTGAAACTGAGAAGCTTCTGTAAGGCAAAGGACACAGTCAGCAAGACAAAAAGATACCCCACAGATTGGGAAAAGATATTCACTAATTCCACATCTGACAGAGGGCTGATCTCCAAAATTTACAAAGAACTCAAGAAGTAAGTCTCCAAAACACCAAAGGATCCAATAAAAAAGTGAGATAATGAACTAAATAGGGAATTCTCAATAGTGGAGTCTAAAATGGCTGAGAGACACTTGAGAAAGTGCTCAACATCCTTAGCCATCAGGGAAATGCAAATCAAAACAACCTTGAGATATCATCTTACTCCTGCCAGAATGGCTAAAATCAAAAACACCAATGACAGTTTATGCTGGAGATGATGTGGAGAAAGGGGAACACTCATCCATTGCTGGTGGGAGTGCAAACTTGTAAAGCCACTATGGAAATCAATATGGTGAATCCTCAGGAAAATGGACATCAGTCTACCACAAGACCTAGCAATTCCACTCTTAGGCATATACCCAAAAGATACCCATTAACACATCAAGGATGTCTGTTCCACTATGTTCATAGCAGCATTATATGTAATAGCTAGATCCTGGAAGCAACCTAGATGCCCCACAACTGAAGAGTGGATAGAGAAAATGTGGTACATTTACACAATGGAGCACTACTCAGTGGAAAAAAACAATGGAGTTTTGAAATTTGCAGGCAAATGGATGGCACTAGAAGAAACCATCCTGAGTGAGGTAACCCAGTCACAAAAAGACAAACATAGTATGCACTCACTAATATATGGATTTTAGATATGGATCAGGGGAATGTCAGCCTACAATCCCATGACCAGTGAGTCAGGGAAACAGGGAGGTTCCCAAGAGATATCCATTATACCCCAGAGAAGTGAAATGAGGCAAGATCTCCTGAGCAGATTGGGAACATCGGGGGAGGGGGGAGGGAGCCAGAATAAAGAGAGGGGGATGAGAGGAAGGGAGAAGGTATGGGGGAGCTGGACCATTGAGTCAAGGTAAGAGCAGAGGAGATCAGGATGAGAGATACCATAATAGAAGGAATCATTATAGGTTTGAGGAGAGAGCTGACACTAGTGAGATTTCCTGATCTACAAGGATAATATAAACTGGCAAACTAAGCAATAGCAGAGAGACTACATTACTAGCCCCTCCCTGATGATAAGGTTGATGACTACCTTATATGTCATCCTAGAACCTTCATTCAATGACTGATGGAAGCAGAGATAGATACCCACAGCTAGACACTGAACTGAACTCCTGTAACCCAGTAGCCGAGATGGAGGAGTGATGAGCAAAGGCATCAAGACCATGCTGGTGAAGCCCACAAAGACAGCTGACCAGTCAAAGGGGACCTCTTAAAATCCAGACTGATGGCTGAGAGATCAACAGGGGACTGATCCAGACTCCATGAATGTAGTGTCAGTGAGGAGGCCTCAGAGAACTCTGGGGCCTTGAGTAGTAGATCAGTGTTTACCATGGCGTTTGAAGAACTTGGTGATCCCATTCCACATGGAAGGATGCTCTCTCAGCCTGGACACATGGGGAGGGGTCTAGGTCCTGCCCTGGATGAAATGACAGACTCTGGAGACCCCCCCATGGAGGGCCTCACCCTCCCTGGGGAATGATGTGGGGATTGGGTGAGGGCCTGGGGGAATGCTGGGGTAGGGACAAGGGAGGAGGGGTGGGAGATGGAGCTGGAATTGACATGTAAAGCATGCATGCATGTTTCTAAGACATAATTTATTTTAATAAAAATAAAAAAGAATGTAGATGAGGGCAGAAAATTGAGGTTGGGAACTTGAAGGCATAAACTGAAGTAGAGGCCAAGAAGGAATGTTAATAGCTTTCTCCTCATGACTTATTGACTCTGCTTGCTTGCTTGCTTCCTTTCTCCCATTCTTTCTTCCCCCCTCTCTTTCTTTTTGAGACAGAGTTTTTCAGTGTAAAACTCTAGCTACCTTGGAACTCACTTTTATAGACAAGGTTGGCCTCTAACTCACAGAGATTGCCCCTGCCTCAGCCTCTGAAACCTGGGATTAAAAGTGCATACCACAGCTGACCTTTCTTTCCTATATATCCCAGGATCACGGACCTAGGGATGGCATCTCCCATAGGAGTATGATCCCACAGCAATCATCTATCAAGAAAATGCCCCACAGACTTGCCAATATGCTAATCTGATGAATATATTTTCTAAATTGAATGCTCCCTCTTCCCAGAAGCCTCTAGTTTATGTAAAGTTGATGAAAACAAACAAATAATAAAACTAAACAGTCAGTGCATGTTTAATATTGACTGAATGAGTTTGTCCTATTTGAATTTAGATATTAGTTCTTCCTTGGATGCAAATTCTGTTCTAAAGTCAATACTTAGCATGAGGATGCAGGGAATGCCTGTCAATTACCACAGTTCCTCTGAGCAAGACACCTGCCCAAAATAAAGCATTTGAGCAATCTCCCGTAGCTCAAGCTTATGTGGATTTATATCTAAGTATCTGATTCTGATGCTCCCCACCAGGCCTGCTACCAGCTCTTATTTTCTTTCTGCTTTGCTTGCATAAATATCCCACTTCTTGTGGGTTTCACAACTAGTTTAATCTTCAATGAAAAGGGATCACCCTCCTGCTCAATAACATAATCTTTTGAAAATAACTGGGGATCAAACTTACTTGACATCTTACTGTCCTCGCCTTGCCGAACCAAAATACATTAAGGGGTGACTTTAAAGCTGAGTTAGCTGCAGTCGTAAACAAACTAAAAGGGATGAGACGATTCCAGGGTAGCCCTGTAGACTCATTGGAAGTCTCTTCCAGTTTATAACATAGACTCTATCCCCTTTTTACCAAAAATAATAATGAATCAAATGACCGTTTTTCAGAAGTATACCTTAATAACTCCCTTACATAATCAATTCTAGTACAAATATTTCTTTAGATTTTAATATCTTTGATATATGAGTTAAAATGTAATAAGTCAGTTCCCCTTTGAAATAGTACTAAAATAATATTGTCAGCCAAAAATCAAGATCTGTTCACCATTAAAGTTGTAGAACACCCCATTCAAATGACAATATGTATTGTCCCATACTCCTTTCTGTTGCTGTGATTAAACACTGTGACCAAAGCAACTAGGGGAAGAAAAGGATCTGTTTGAGTTTACAGGTCCCAGGCCCATCATTAAGGGATTTCAGGGCAGGAGGTCAATCAGAACTCAGGCAGGTTGAGGCCCAGAATTAGCTTCTTATAATGGACTTGGCCTTCCTACATTAATTAAAGATCAAATGAAGACAATTCCGCTAGACAGACAGGGCAGTTTGATCTGGAGAGTTCCTTACTGAGACATCCTTCTTACTTGATTCCAGGCTGTGTTGTTGACAATTTATGCTTGCTAGAGCATATATCAAATGAAACATAGATGTAGCCCAAGAATTGTGCATCATGACTTTACTATTCAAATATGAGCCTGTCCAGTGTCCTCTTACTCATAGATGGCATCACCATTACCTATTTGGACAAAACCCTAAGTCTCTGACCACCTGCATCTATTCCCTGAACCTTTACCTCTTCAACACCTAGTGTTGACTATGACATGGAAATATTAACCAAATAAACCCTCTCCTCACCAAAGTTGTTCATAGTCATGGTGTTTATCACAGCAACGGAAAGCAGACTTAAACAGGCATATTACTTTAATAGACATTTAACAAAGACTATATGTTTTATAACATGGGAAATTTTATCAAAAATTAATTAGTTGTGTTACATTACCAATTGTGTGAAACATATAAACAAAAAGAGGGAAACTAACAAAATTTTTACAATATTTTTACTAATGAATTTTGACTATTTTGACTGCTGAACATTCTCTGGCTCTTCTTACTTTATTTTTCTGTTTGCTCCACACTGGGACAGTCAAAGAGAATACTCATATCCTCTCTCTAACAGTGACACAAGGCAGTCGGATCAACAAGGTGAACACTGTCTTACATGTGGAAACCCTCATGTAAACAACGCCTTTTGGCCCATCATGAACCAAAATGACTATCAGCAACTCCTGTCTCTCTCCACCTCAGTAATCATTTGAGTGAACAACCAGAACACCCTTTGAAATCTCCTTATTGTAAATGGTATCTTAGATTCTCAACACTCAAAAAACCAAAACAGTAGTTGAGGGACTCTAGAATCTCTTCCCAGGTTGGTTACACAGGACAGGAACTGGCAACAAACCCTAAAAGACGGTGCACAGGTGTGGACGATGAACATGGTAGGTATATGCTTCATGCTAGGTCAGTATTTGCTTCCTGAGAAGCTTCATGTCCTCTGTAACCAGAGAGACCAACTTGTACCTACTCTTCTTCCACAAGAAGTTTCTCTATGTAAATAAATCATAATGCATATTTCTCAGGAGTATGAAGACATTAAAGCAGATGCATTTTTGATTGATGGGAAAATTGAAGA